TTTGTTCACAGACCTTAGTAGAAATAAATTTTATATGTTGGTGTTACAATAAAGAATTCTCAAGCGGCCAATCGGTGTTTTGGTTTTTGCGTCCGTTATTACTAAGCGTTTCTGAGAAACTTCAAGGAACAGCGTGAGCCCGAGCGTAGCAAGAGCTAGGCATTAACGGTTTACGAGACTTGACTGACAACTGGACTATGCGTCAGACAGCACTTACGGAGTGAGAAGACATGAATTTTTCTAACCACTGATCGGAAGATTCTAGAAGATCTGGGTTTCACGAGTAGTTAGCTTGTGTTTAGTGACACACAAACTCGAAGTCTCGCAGGCAAGCGAAAACCAACCAACTGGCTGAATAGGCAGGAAGCCACGACACGACTTCAGGTGAGCACAGATAATATGGAGGAGATGAAGACAACCAACCAACCAACCAGCAGCAACATTAACCAGCACCAATCACCATCAACCGGAGAAGTTTGAAAGAGGTAACTTCCTTCACTCATCTATGAAGTATCGTCTCAACCACAGGCGGAAAGCGTGGAGATGTCAAAACAGGCCAGAATTGGAAAGACAAGGTGTCTCTCTAGGTCTTCTGTTGTCACTCAGCCTGCATAAAGAGCAAGATTCAGACTTTTAATACCAATGATAAGACAGTAACTTCTTCTAATTGTGGACGGAACCTATTACACGCGCCACGAATAGCATTTTCAACAGGTGGCTGCAGACACTTGTCAGCAGTCACTTTCACTGGCTGCATACTGAAGATCGAATGGCAGGGAAGAAGGAATTAGTAAGAAGAAACCCTGGCTGAGAACGAACCAACCAAAATTCAATCGAGCAACTAATATTCCAAAGAGAATGGAGATGGATTGTGTATTCGCTGAGGAGACCGTTGAATGACATTGCATGCCAGACAGCCAGTGGAGTGGAATCTAAATTGGAAACAACGAGTGGTTTATCCGTGCGAGGGTGAGATGAAGGAGGTTATGGGAAGAGGAGATGAGAGATGTTGGGCAATCGTGGACCCAGTTGAAGAGGGCAGCATAAAATAGGACGAAGTGGAGACATGTTGTTGAAGCTACATTTTAGACTGGGAACCCAAGTGAATGTTAACAGTAGTATAAGATTAGGGTTAAGGGGTATATTTAAGGCTTCGGTTAAGTCTAGTGTGAAAGTTGCAACGGATTTTACGAATACGGTCAAATATAAGGTAGCATTGCCAAAGAACGGAATCCCAAAATAAGTACTTCAGTAAACAGACGCATTGACCTTGATGAACTAATGTGATCGGCCTACAGTAGATGAGCGTAATTTAAAAAACTATTTCATAGACAGCAAGCAGCCTGTAGACGGACGCAGGTCATTTGATCAGCTGATGGATATTGACGCTATTTATTGGAAAAACGTCAAGGTTAGGTCGTTTTTCGTTGTTTTTCACACATTTTTACCTATATTCCTGCTAAAAGTTGATGAAATGTGGCCTTTTTAGCAGAAAGAGCATATGGTGTTGTCCTTATCCGGACGTAGGTCACAGGCAGTTTACAGTTTGCTGAAAATACATAATTTTTCCGTTCAGAAAATGTCTAATTACTTGAAGACACACGTTATAACGACTTTTTGTGAATTTATTGTGCAGTTTAATAGATTACACATGAACATGATGAGGTGGGTTAGCTCGTTTTGGTAATTATTTCATTTACTTTAGATAATGCAATAAGAAGACGTAATTTGTCTGAATCGTGTAATGTATTTGCGCAACACATTTCGAACAATCTGATCACACACGGACTTGTCATAGGAATATATATTAAAAAAAATCAGATTGTTCGAAATGTGTTGCGCAAATACATTACACGATTCAGACAAATTACGTCTTCTTATTGCATTATCTAAATTCATAAAGGGAACTAATTGTTTTAAATTCATTTACTTTGTTGTGTACTTTGCCTAAATGCTGACAAGGCTCCTCAACGTGTATTTCTTTAAGAAAAATCTGCAGAAATTCTTAAAAATTATATATGCATAGTATTTCCTTATTTGATGGCATAAACTTGATGTTAGCAGGCAGATGGAATATCAACTTTGCATTATTGAAAAATGTTGAATAACATAAATATATACAGTTCAAATCATTATTTTGTCATTTTAAGCATATTTAATGGTTAATTATTATGTTTACACTGATAACAATGTGTACATCTGTATAATTCTTATGTTCTTTTTCATATAATATCTACTTTCGGGAATTTCATGTATTTGGGTGATAAAGAAAAAGATACCTGCACTGTTGTCGATTTTGTATTACATGTTAATTCATTAATAAATGTATTCCTTGTTATTCGTTTGTTTATTCTACTTGATAAGACCGAATATTAGCCCTTGCGTAATTTGTGAGGTATAGAGTATATGAGGCTATCTTTGAAATACTAAGCAGGAGCAGATACACGGAGAAGCCTATTGGTAAAAGATTATGTAGTCAAATAAAGCAAATGTGTCTAAATCGTCGTGGAGGTATTGCAATTATAAAGCGTTTCGAGTTATCTATCGTCTTAGCAGAATACATATACTGATTCGCGATTTATAGTCACAAAGTGGGAGAAAATCTACCTGAGATAATAATAATAATTTTATTCTCATATAAACATAAATTTACATGAAAATGCATGCCATTTTTACAGGCACGATCAAGTATGGTATATTGTCAAATCTTAAATTGTCTACAAGTTAATAATGTTTCAACAGTTAAATATTTGATATATATAATTACACTCATTGTCTGAACTAGGCCGTATTGTTATTGAATTGTACAGTTGTCCTCCAGGTTGAGCGGGAAAATCGACTTCGTTTTGTTTTCATCCCGTGGTTGTAGGCATACGATAACCAACCAATATGGAGGTAAGTACAACGTTTACAAGGGATTGGAAGCTGTTTTAGAAAAGTTAAAGTGCTAAGGTGAATCATTAAAGTGTAATAGATTAAGTGAGTGAAATATATCATTAATAAATGCATTTATACAGAAAACAGAATGAAGAAGTAATTAATCCTTAAGCCGACAACGTTCATTTGCAATGTATAATAAAACCAATATATTTTGTACTATCATAATGTCCACTTTCGTCTTTAATACAATTATTTTCAAGCCAGTTGTCTTTATTTCATGCTTTTTTGTCTATTTGGTGCACAACTGTACCCTATAGAGAATAGGAATAGAATAAATCGAATCAAATTCATAGAGAGCTATAAAATGTTAGGTTTAATGGAATATAATGAGGATCAAGTTAAGACGTTATTGGAAAATAAGTGAGATAAGACATTGTGAAGTGGTATTTAAAGATCTGAGGATGGATGGAAAGTTAATTTATAAGATGCCCCATAAACCTGTGCAGATCCCGCGTGGTCGCATCTCAACAATAGGCTGAGCGAATGTTGTATATTCAAAGGTAGAAGCATGATCTGTCAAGGCATTCATTATTATCTTTTTCAAGATAAAGATCTAAGCCCTCATAAAAATCAGAAATATCTCGAGCCGTCAAATTGCATATTGCTGTTCCTGCAGAATGGGGCGATTCACCTTAGTGATCACCACCATATCTACTGATCAGCTAGCAACACCCTCCCTCCTTTTTGATGTTAGGCTCTGAGACTATGATTATTATGGCTACCGCAAATATATTGCTTGGTACCAGACATGTTCATACCTCATATTCTATCTCCCTAGCTTTCTTAATGAGTGCTTCCAATAGGTATCCACTTTTATCTTTATGAACATATTATATATGTATGCATGCGTCCTAATGAACAAATTACTTTATAAGAAGTCAAAAACTTAAAGAGTAAAACGAATAGGTATTGTGAATAGTGGAGCAAGATTCAGTAGAACACTATAGTTAGGGTTCAATGTAGGTAGTATGAACCGAAGGTAAAGTCGGTTGGCAGGACTTAGTGTACTTATATATAGTAAACATCTGACATTGCAAAGTAACGTGTCTAGACATGTTATATAAAGATATTAACACAGAACCAACAAAATTTTGCCATTTGGTTAACAATACTGCAGTGTGTATATACTGAAGAATGGTAGTTAGTCTACAGGGAGCCGTAGAGTAAATCAAACCACATATGATAAGAGTATAATCAATAATATAATTCGCATATCAAATAATACACTAGGCTCAATAATTGAGTGTTATAAGGGAAACAAGCGTCGTAAAGCAAGAGAACATGTGGTGCATTATTATTTTAATCATTTTAAGTATTTTAATAACAATCTAATTTAAGAATTGAACATGCATGATTAATAATTATTATTATATTAGTATATACATATGTAAAATTTTAAAATGTGTGGATGCTATTATAATTATTTCCAGTGTTACTTTTACCGACATAACTTAGTGAAAATTATAGAGAATAAAAATCAGTAAATTAGCTAACGTTCGCTGCGTGAGTATTAGAGTCGAGATATACGTATGTGACTATACTGAAGACTGAACTGGCCTTGTGATTTCTGCATGCCGCAGTATATCATAAGGAGAGACTATACCTATGCTGTTAGATGTATGACTCAGTGCAACTACGGATATCGTAATAATGTTTGAAATTACCTCAACTCGAATGACAAACTGGCCAATCACAAGCGAGCGAATCGCTTGTTTATCTCATTCGCGGTCACTCAAAAGTACTGTAATGATATAAAAACTAACATGACATCACTAAATGGGTCTCCTGTTTCCTCTTTTTCAGATAAGAACGCTGGCCTGGCCGTGCTGGAACAGGTGGAGGACCGTTTGTCTAACCTTGTTTTAAATGACAATGATTAGCTTGTACCCGGGCAATTCGAGCCCTGCGTGCTGGAAATATAGACCTTCCTCTCGCATCTTCCTCTTCTTCCTTCGCTGATTGTGTCTGTTGCTTCTGGGTGTTACAATTGGTGTCGGAGGTGTCCAAAACTCAATCTCGAAATGAAATCAGATTCTTCCGATCCTCCTGAAATCTTCTCCACCCCAAAAGTCAACCCACAATCCCCAGCCACAGAACACATCTTACCGGTGCGAGGATTACCAACTTTGGACCTAAACAGCGATTATGAAATGTGGAAGATTCGCATGGAGTCTCTCTTATCCGGTCTTACTCCACACGCACAATATACTCAGATAATGCTAGCAATGAGTGACACCGCACTACGTCGTGCTATCGCTGGGGGCTTCTCCGCGTCCAAACCCATCAGCTACAACTGGCGTGTCCTCGACGAATGTTTTGCCAAAACCTCCAGCCCTTCGGTGTACATGCACACCTTTCTCAGCCGCTGTCAAGAGCCCGGCGAAACAGCGTTCGATTACCTGCATCAACTCCGCGAGATGGCATCGCGCGCATTTCCCAACCTTCCCATTCCGAACCAAGATGATGTTATCTGTAGCCGTTTTGCCCAAGGTGTCTCATCATATGAGCTCAAGTGCCAACTTCTACGCCAGCCAGCAAAATCAGTCTCAGAGGCCATTGAGGTGGTAAAGCGATTCGAGAGCGTCGAGCATATTCTCACTCCAACTGCCAGTACGCCCTGCTATGCTCTCGGGACCACCGAGCGAAGAACAACCGTCCCAGCACCACGACAACGCCGGCCTAATGCTCCATCGTCAAACCAACCTCCAATTCCGTCCCAGCGGCATGATGACCCCAGTAAGTGCTATTACTGTCGCCGGTTCGGGCGGCGAGCATGGAAATGTGGGCATAACAAAAAACCGCAAGGTGAGCCATGTTCTGATGTGTCATTATTTGATAATTGCTCGAAATCTCCCCTCCTCCTTGAAGGTAAACTCCAGGGCACTGACGTCACTTTTCTGGTGGACACCGGGGCATCATCCTCTGTTGTTCGCACGCAATTGGTCCAGACACTTGGGGTCAAACCTCAACCTCTCCCCAATCAGCTCCAGTTAATTACCGCCAATGGAGCCCCTATCAAGGTAACGGACATGGCCACACTTTCCGTGACGTTCCCAGGTTTTACTTGTGTCCAGTCATTCGTCATTTGTGATGTCATACGATGGGACGCCATACTGGGCGTGGACTTCTTAACTGAAAAAAACGCTGTCATTGACCTAAGACGCTTTCGAATTCGGCTGGGGACACATAACCTCGCATGTCGCCGACCAGTCAACCGCAACCAGAGTGCTAATGTTTGTGCTTTACCCAGATGACAGTGGTGAACATCCATGATAACCCCCACCTCAGTCTAAAAGACCGTACCGACACCCTGGCCCTGCTACAGGAGTACAGTGTGTATTTGACGATGGGCAAGTGATGGGGCGGACTAATATCGTACAGCACGAGATTCAGACAGGTGATAACTTGCCCATTAGGACGCCACCGCGACGAGTGCCCATTCATTACCAACAGCAGTTGGATACCATGATAACAGATATGTTACGAAAGAAGGTGATTAAACCGTCTACGTCACCGTGGGCATCTCCAATCGTTCTTGTGAAAAAGAAAGATGGTTCTCTCCGCCTCTGTGTCGACTATCGCCGCTTAAATGCAATCACACAACGGGATTCTTTTCCTTTGCCTCGCATCGACGCTACCTTAGATGCTTTAGGTGGGGCACAGTGGTTTTCCACACTAGATCTCGCTTCCGGCTATTGGCAAGTTGAAATTCGCCCAGAAGACCGCCCCAAAACTGCGTTCGTTGTGCCTACGGGGCTGTACGAATTCGAAACCATGCCATTTGGCCTGTCTAACGCCCCTGCTACGTTTCAACGGCTCATGCAAACAGTACTTGCAGGGCTAGTCCCCAAACAGTGCCTCATCTACCTGGACGATATCATCGTGTTCGGCCAGTCTCTCGAAGACCATCATGCCAACCTTCGCGCCGTATTTCAACGCTTACGCGAGAGTAACCTTAAGCTGCAAGCCTCGAAATGCAAATTCCTGCAGAAATCTGTTATTTTCCTTGGACATGAGATTACTCCACAAGGAGTACATACGGATAGCAGCAAAACTCAAGCAGTTGTTAACTGGCCGACCCCTAAATCGACCGCTGACGTACGCAGTTTCATGGGACTCGCCTCCTATTACCGGCGTTTCGTCCAGAATTTCGCCAGTATAGCAGCCCCTCTCCATCGATTGACAGAAAAAGGACGGAAATTCGTTTGGACAAATGAGTGCCAGGTAGCCTTTGACACGCTTAAAAAATGTCTAACTTCTCCCCCTGTCCTATCGTTTCCAGACACATCGGCTGGTAGCGGGCCCTTCATTCTGGATACCGACGCCAGTGCACATGCAATAGGAGCCGTTCTCTCGCAAACAACCTCTGACGGACAAATACGAGTGATAGCATATGCTAGTCGAATGCTAGACAAAAGAGAGACGCGGTATTCGACGACGCGACGTGAGATGCTAGCCCTCGTCTACTTCCTCTCCTACTTTCGTCATTACTTATTGGGGCGCAAATTTCGAGTCCGGACTGACCACAAGGCGTTACAGTGGTTGCAAAATTTTCGTGATGCCGACGGCCAACTTGCCCGCTGGCAGGAACGGTTACAGGAGTTTGATTTCACTTGTGAATACCGGCCTGGAAAACGACATGGTAACGCCGACTCTCTCTCTCGCCTGCCCGATTGCGAGAACACACTGAATGTGTTACTCGGTGCTGCAGCTGACACCGACTGGGCCTCCCTGCAAGCGGCGGACACAACGATACAGCCCATTTATTTACGTCAACAGCATGGGAACGATAAACCGACGTCCAAAGAACTACGGGATTTACCAGCAGCCACGCGGTGCATCTGCGAGAAGTGGGGTTTACTACGACTTATAGATAATGTTCTTTACATAGTGGAACCAAATGCCAACCCCCGACTCCTCGTCCCAACTGTTAAAGTACCCGAGCTTATTAGTCAGGTGCATCATCAACTGGGACACGCTGGCCAACAGAAAACTGAACACGCCATCCGTCAACGCTTCTGGTGGCCACTTATACACCATGATGTTATGGAGTTTTGCCGCAATTGCGCTATATGTGCGCAGATCAAACAGCCTAAGCCAACTCCCCGAGCACCCCTAGTACCTATGCTGACCGAAGCCCCTAATCATCGAGTTGGAGTCGACATCATTGGGCCAGTACCAACATCGAGACGCGGGAATCGTTATATACTTGTCATGGTCGACTATTTCACCAAGTGGTGCGAAGCAGTCCCCTTGCAGCAACAAGATGCCCTGACGATCGGGCGAGCTTTCATCGACAACTGGGTGTCCCGTTTTGGTGCCCCTCTTTATCTACACTCTGATCAAGGCGCTGCTTTCGAGAGTCTTCTTATCTCTCACATCTGCAATGCTTTCGGCATTCGAAAGACCCATACTACGCCTTATCATCCACAAGGGAATGGACTGGTGGAACGCACCAACCGAACCATCAAGCATCTTCTTCGTGCCTTTTTGCACAACGCACCGGAGAACACCTGGGACGATGTCCTGCCTCAATGCTTGCTTGCATACCGCTCCTCCGTGCATTCGTCGACCGGATTTTCCCCGGCTCTACTCTTGTTTGGGCATGAACTTCGCCTTCCTGTTGAGATCCGGACACCGTTGCTACCATACGAGAAGATCGACTGTATTCCCTACGTCCGCAACCTTCGTCACCACCTCGACACAGCCTACAACCTAACACGTCGACATCTGCAGTCTTCTTCGCAGCATCAGAAAAGCAACTATGATCGGTTTGCCCACGGACCAACCTATTCCCCGGGTGACTACGTCTGGCTTCATCGGCCGTCAGTCCCTGCCGGTTCGTGCCCCAAGTTCTACGCCCCCTGGAAAGGCCCATATGAAATCGTACAACACCGACCTCCAACTACATATGTCCTGCGGAACTTGCGACGCCCCCAGGAAAATCTCATCTCAGCACATTACAACCAGCTGAAACCACACTGTCCACCAGCTGTCAAAGAACCGTCGACATCTTCGCAACCGCCACCAGCTACGACCTACTTCGAGGTGCCCACTGATGGAGGTAGTGCATACCCTATACCGCCGCCAGGCACTGAGGACAGTGCCTCCAGAGGGGAGGGAGCGATGTAATGATATAAAAACTAACATGACATCACTAAATGAGTCTCCTGTTTCCTCTTTTTCAGATAAGAACGCTGGCCTGGCCGTGCTGGAACAGGTGGAGGACCGTTTGTCTAACCTTGTTTTAAATGACAATGATTAGCTTGTACCCGGGCAATTCGAGCCCTGCGTGCTGGAAATATAGACCTTCCTCTCGCATCTTCCTCTTCTTCCTTCGCTGATTGTGTCTGTTGCTTCTGGATGTTACAGTACGTCCGTCGACAGGCTGTCTTGACAGCAAGGCAATGCATAAAGGCACACACGGGGTGCCGTTATGTGTTATCGCGATGTTGTGTTTGGGTTGTTCTACGTTGTCTTCAGGTGTTTTTTCAACTGAAATACATTATAAATACCATATTTTAACGAAAAAACCTAGAAAAATGGTGGAAAGTAGACGCTTTCAGCAGTTTGAGTGAACATGTATCTGTCATCGAATTTCGTTATTTCTTTGCATGTGGAATGTTAAAACTCTGTGTAAATTGTTGATTACGTTAAGATAAACGAAATAAATTAGGTAATTGACATATATTTTGGGAAATTCTGAAGTGGTGTTTTGAATCTCTGAGGTATGACCTGTGACAGTCAGAAGAGTTTTAAGCTATAAAGGAGTGTTTGTTGATTTATTCGCACAGTAACAGTTAATAAACAAATTTTTCTTAAAAGTTACCTTGGTTTGGAGTATTTTCGTATTGTTAACTATTTGTTAATGGATGTCTTACTATTGTTGATTTGCAGGTTGCAATTTTAATTTACGGAGTGGTTCACTTTATTTCGAGGCTTTAATGAAGTGCAATTGAAGAATTTGCGCGTTATCGTTGGAATCTTTGTGATATTATAAAATTATTTATCAAAATAAATATCCCTTTAATGTTTTAACGGTGTTCTTTAAAGAATTCACTACTACTTCCCTTTGCTCGTCGAAGGAGTAGTGATGTAGCCGGTTTCGGAATGCGTAATGATTTAATTTGAAAGAATGATAATTTGTGCAACATAAGAATACTAGGAAAATTTCCTTCAATAGGATATACCTATAACACGTTATTTTCCGTGTACGTAGCCGTCCTACATTTGTTATTATATATACGTAGTAATCGCAAAACAAACCTAAGCGCAACGCATACTTTTTTGGAAGCCCTGATGAAAGATAATCTTTTATGCAGCCGGATTAAATGGAACTGAAACATTTCATGGGAGGATTGATGATGCACTGAGGAAATAATAACGGTTTGCGATTATCACGCATTTCACACAAGTATTATTACGTTGCCTATCAACTTCGTTAACTATGCAATGTCCTCGAAATGATAAATAAGAGAGCTACAGTTAGTCGACATAAATGCATGTATTTACAAAATAACAACAGTTAATCAGTACATATTCACATTAAAAAGGGTTTATAACAATTCAGTGGAAAAAATCGCACTTGTAGTTCTCTATGGCTACATCATAGTCAAATTAAAGTCCACTAATCGTTTTATCCACAATATGTGGAACAGTTTCCCTCGGGTGATTGTGACACTGGACCTGTCCTTATAGCTTTCAGCACCACCTGATCCTTCAGAAGAAACTGGTTATGATCTTTCCATGCAAAGATTGAGATTGTATTCCTTTGACCACCTCCTGCCACACTGAGAAATATCTAAGGAAATGTACATATCAGGTGAATTAATCTTACCTCAAGTGAACGATTCCCAATCTTAGCAACAATGATTATGTGAACAAGGGAGGGAACAATAGTAGAATCGGTAAGAATAGTCCATATATCCCATAATTAACTCGAAGAATTCTAGGACTTCCGATTTATCTATCACGGTTTGTCTTCTGCAAAATGCAAATATTACACAAACGCCTCTCCTCTCTGTCCGTTACAATAAACTGAAAAAGACTAAATATTCAAACTTTATACTTCTTTGATTAAGTTACCCAATAATATTCACTTTTTTAGTGGGTCCACATGCATATCACATCTGTAAAATCTATACATGCGTTAACTTGTCTCCTTAAGCTGAAAAAATGCAATGTTTATGCGACTTTTATTACTATCATTTCAAAGCCCGCCTCAGTAACGCGTACTACGTATTAGCCGCAGCGTTTTCGCAAAGTAAAATCTACCAATCACAATATGCATACATGACCTTGAAGTGCTCAGCCTCTTCACAAGGTTGTGTGTGCCTTTATCCAGACGCACAAACTGTTCTCGATCGCTACCCTGTCCCTCACATACACGATTTAACCGCCTCACTCAAGGGAGCCCGAGTATTCAGCAAACTGGACCTTACACGGGCTTACTACCAAATCCCCGTCGACCCCGTGGATATACCTAAGACGGCTGTGATTACGCCGTTTGGCCTGTTCGA